CGTGTGTGGAAACGGTTGTCTCTTCCTGTGGAGCTCGTCCACACCAGAACCACCCGGACCCCCTCCAGGCCAGGAGCCCCCCCCCCCCCGTGGGTAGAACCGGGTGTCTCTACCTGTAGAGCTCGTCTACATAAGAAGCACCCAGACCCGCTTCCAGGCGGAGAGATCCCAACCCGCAGAACCCCTCCAAGCTGGCGACGGTCAGTGCCCTCCGGCCTGTCTGCTCGATGGGGCCCGCCGCCTCTCCAGCCATCAGGGTCCCCTCGCCGGGTCTTTGTAGGGTGAGTCACTAGGGTTCCCCAGCCCCTCCCGGTGCTGCGAAGGTAGCGCACGTGCGTCTAGATTGGCCGGGGGGCGGGGGGGGGGACATGCGCCCTGGTGTGGATCGAGGCTCTGAACCAGGCCGATCCCAGGCCCCAGGCTGCGCCGCCGCCTGCCTGCACGCACGTGCGCGTCCGCCCCGCACCGCCTGGGCCCCAGGGCACCCCAGCCCTGCGGAGATCCCGGTCCCCCCAAGACGCCTGAACGGCCTCAGGACAGAGGCCCCCAGGCTGGGACCGTCTTTCTGAGGGGGCACATTGAACCCGGTGCCAGTCAGCCCCCCGGCAGACCACCTGCCCGGTGGGGCCCCCGGCCTCTTCAGCAAGGGAGGCTCCTGGGTGACCCCCTGGACGGCAGCCCGCCCGCCGCCCACGACCCAGGCCCACGCACGCACGCTGCTCCGGCTCTGCCTTCGGGGCGATACGCGCCGTCGTTTGGGATCCTGCTTGGATCGAGCAGATGCCGAGCGCCTCTGGGAGCAGCTCCCGGACCCAGGCTCTGCGGTTAGCCGTGCCTTTGAGGTTCAGGGCGACACACACACACGCCCGCACACACACACACACACACACACACACACACACCCCTCCACCCCGCCCCTGCCCCCGCCACCCCCCGCCAATGCCTCACTTGCACGCGCCCCGGGCCGCACCTGCGCATGCGCAGTTGGCTCACCGTCTGCGGGTCGCCAGCCGCCCTCGCCCCCAGGTGGCCGCCAGACCGCCCCTTGCGGGGGCCCCTGGGGGGGGAGCGGGGTGCTGCTCAGAGGACCGAGCTCCGCCTACGTTTCCCTGTTTCAGGTCCAGTCTCCCCGCACCCGTTCCCAGCCAGGCTCTGGGCACACCTTGCTGTCAAATGGAACAAGCCTGCCTTTTTTTTTAACCTATCTTTTTGCACACGGGCCTCCAAACGGTCAGAGAAATCCCATCCAGATCTTCACGAAAAGGGGACTTGTCTTTTGAACGATATAATTTAGGAGCTGTGTGCAGCTTCCAGAAATACAGGCGCGGGAAACAGTGACCTCGGTCAGGAATGGGGTCTCCTCGGGAATCTGGCGCAGGCAGTGTGGACCGTCAGGACCGTCACTCTGCTGTGTGGCCGGACGTGCCCTTCCCCGATGGCCGACACGTCGTGTGCGCTTCTCTGCTGCCTGTGCATCTCTCCGGTGAAGTGTCTGTGCAAGGCTTTGGGGCACTTTTTAATTAGATTGCTTAGTAACTGTTAGGTTCCAAGAGGGTTTTTTTTAATATATTCTGGATGTAAGCCGTTTGTTAGGTATCTTCATTCCCTTAACAGCTTCTATCCCAGGGGCGCCTGACCGGCTTAGTCGGTGGGGCACACAACTCTTGATCTCAGGCTCTTGAGTTTGAGCCCCATGTTGGGCACAGAGATTGCAATAAAATAAAATAATAAAAATAAAATATAAAATGTATAAAATATAAAATAATAAAATAAAAAATATGAGTACCTGGGTGGCTCAGTCGGTTAAGAGTCTGATTCCTGATTTTAGCTCAGGTCGTGATTTTGTGGCATGTGAGTTTGAGCCCCACATCCGGCTCTGCACTGACAGTGCTGAGCCTGCTTGGGATTCTCTCTCCCCCTCTCTCTACCCCCCCCCAAATAAATAAACATTAAAAAAAAAACGTGTTTTCTGCAAGTTTTAATAAAACAAAATCTGTAAAAATAGTATGTATCATAGAATGAAAGTTCTTAATTTTAGTAACTTATCTACTTTTTCTCTTATGGGTGACATTTGGTCACATGTAAGAACTCTTTGTTGAATCCAAAGTCAAGAAAATATTCTATTTTTCTTCTAAATGCTTTATATGTTATGTTTTACATTTGCATCTGTTTTTTTTTTAAACTATACTTTATGGCTTACCTTACCTATTCTCATTATTAAGATAGGAGCCATGGCTTTTAACTTTCTTTTCAAGGGTCATTTTAGTGCAGGCTAAGGAGGAGGAAGGAAGAGAGGAAGGGAGGAGGGAGAGGAAGGAGGAAGGAAGAGAAGAAAGCGGAGAAGGAGGAGGGGGAAGAAGGAGGGAAGAGAAGAAGGGAAAGAAGGGGAGGAGGCGGGGAAGAAGGGGTAGAAGGAGGAGGGGAGGAAGAGGAGGAGGAAGGGGGAGGGGGAAGAGGAGGGGGAGGAGGGGCGGAGGCGGGGAGGAAGGAGGGAACTACTTCTAACGAAGCCCAGAAGAGAAGCCAGGTGGCAGCGGGCGGGGAGGCAGGAGCCCCAGGAGCGGTTCCAGCGGTGGGAGCAGGTTCTCAGCCAGCGTGTGCGCCCCAGGGGCAGCTGCAGGGTGCGGCCCGGGAAGTGGGCGCCCCTGCGGGGAGGCGCCCCTGCGGGGAGGCCTCAGCTCCACTCTGCTCCGCTCGTGTGGGGCAGCGACGCTTAGGGGAGCCTTTCAGTTTGGGACGGTCGACGACAGGGGCACCTGTGCGCGGGGAGGGCCGCGTCGCGCACCTGAAACGCCCCCGCTCTGGCCCCGTCCCTTCCCGGGGGGCCTCCGTCCCCGGGGGACCCCCGCTCCCAGGAAGCAGCCTGAGCGGGCGCTCCTTCTCCCGCCGCCACGTTTTCAGAGGTTTTTATTCTCTCTGTTGCCTCAAAGGGGAGGTGAGTGACAAGGCAGGTTCACGCAGCCGGCCGCGGTCCCTGACGTGACGTCATCCAGGCCGCGGATCCGGGTTTTCACAGCGCACAACGGCCGGCTGGGCCGGGCGGTGCCTCGGCGAGGACGCGTGTCCCGGTCACTGAAGGGCCGGTGAGAGATGCTCGGGGTACAGGGCCCGCCGGGCACCAAGCGCCGCCCCGCCCTCACCGACGGATTCGGACCCCGAGGAACCCAGCGTTCACACGCCGCCCGGAGCCCCCGCCGTGCCCAGCGCTACCCTGGGGGCGGAGGTGGCGTGTGCTCAAAACGTGTCCTTAACCCGGGGGGCAGGCACCCCTTCATAACCAGAGACACGTTGTGGACTCCAGCATCAGGCCATGTGCTTACACACCCACGCACACTGCACCCCCCAAGGCCGTCTCCAGTGGCTGGGGCCTCTTCCTCACCTCCGCCCACCCTCCCCGCCTCCGCCCACCCCCCGTCCCCGCCTCCGCCCACCCCCCGTCCCCGCCTCCGCCCACCCCCCGTCCCCGCCTCCGCCCACCCCCCGTCCCCGCCTCCGCCCACCCCTCCCC